ACCCCTCAAAACGAACGCCCCCCCTTCCAAAGTACCTATCTTATTTATGGGCCTCTCCAGGACTTCAAAGACGTTCAGTAACTTAGGCCAGACTGTTTTATTGCTTCGTGAAGCTAAGATGTTTCAGGGGGAAGATGCAGATTATGGTGTGTGAGGAAGCCTGTCTCGGGCGGTGGGCAAAAGCTTCTTACAGAATCACTCCTAAATCTTCGCAGTCGACTGGGCATTGTCTGCAGTCCCAGGTGCTAAGCCCAAGATAGAAAGAACTTTTGTACTCTCTTCTCCCCACCCCCTTTCTTGGACCAACCGCCTGGGACGAGCCAGGAGGGAGCTGGACCTGGTAGAGATCAGTTATAGAGTTCTCTGGGGTGTTTCCACCGGCCTGCTCTTTCCTCTCTGGTGTTTTGTTTCTCTCTTCATCGTGACAGTGACAGTCCTGAGGTCTTTGCTGACATGCCAGAAGGCAGGGACCAACCTGAGTCTGCATCTGGGCCCTCATTTAGCAAGGACAGCTCGGGGCGGTAGACGAGGCCAGGAGTCCGGAAGCCCGGGTTCTCCATCCAGCCAGGCTACCGCCACCTGGCTGTGCACCTTGGGCAGGCCATACTTCCTTCTGTGCCTCTGTTTTCTCATCTCTAACATGAGAAATGTGACTGTCTTTCTCTGGTTCTATGGCTCTAAAATCCCTTCCCACTTACTGAGCGCCAGATGGCTCCCAAAGGGGAGAAAATCTGGCCCCAGCCTCCAGGAGCCCGCGGTGGGCAGGTAGCGCAGAGGAGGCATGAGCGCAGGTCTGCTGCTCCAACTAGGGTTGGCCTTTCCTTCCCCCGGAAGCTATGACAGACAGGACTCAGGGCAGCCCTCAATGTGCCGCTCTCTCCTGCCACCGTCACCTACATGGGTGGTGGCCGTGGCTCTCTAAACAGCCTGCAACTCTGCTGGAGCGGGGTTCTGTCTTCAGAATTGGTTCCACCGGCAGAGGGCTGAGCCCCCAGGAGACCTTGTGAACAAAGCATTGCTTTGATTGACTAGATATAGTTCAGCTAGAGAACTATTAGCTGCCAGAGTTTGTTCAGAGAGAAGAAAGAACACAGTGCACAGGAAACCTAGAGGTAAAGTTTCCAGAAGAGGGTACCAGCAGAGACTCGAAAGAGGCAATATAGCAGATTGATTTAATATGCAGATGAGGTGCTTGAATGGTGGGCATGTCTATCTAGTTGTGACTTTGAGCAAACCATTGAGCTGTAAGAGCCCAGCTGCTGGAGTCAAATGTCCTGGTTCCGGTCCTGTCTCTCTCCCTTGTTGCCGGTGCAGGCTTAGTTAAGTGGCTTTATGTGGGACTCTGATCCCCGCAGAGTACTGCTTCGAGAAGGAGGACTTAACACCTGCAGGCACTGGAGGTGCTGCCAGCACGGAGCCCTCAGCTCCATGCCTTCTCAGAGGTTGTTTTAGCTGAAGAGAGTGGTTGACTTGCCTCATGTCAGGCCCTCTTCCGGGGGCAGCCTGTGTTCAATGATTGAGTGACCAGCATTAGCGTCTAAAGGTCTGTCCTCCCAGTGCTAACTTGGAACAGCTCTGCAGAGCTATCCCAGCTCCAGAAGTCCCTGGGGAGCCAGCTGGGACCTTTATTGGAACTGCATTGCAGCCCAGCTTCCCTCTGCCCAGTCCTCCTTCCATCCCCTCCCTTCTTCCACAGGAATTAGCCCCAAAAGCACTCTCTGATGCATGTCCTGCCCACTAATTGGTACTTTCCATCTCAGAGTTTGTATCCCAGGAAACCTAATCCATGACATTGCACAGCTCTCTGAGCCACATTTCCTCATCTAAAACACTGAGGCGACAATAGTGTCCATCCCACAGAGCTGGGCTGCAGACTAAATGAAATGATCCATGCGAAGCTTCTATATGCCCATGGACTAGCTCTGCAACTCCCAACTGATACAAACTCCTTATTTTGCAGATGAACTTGACTTGATCTTGAAGAATGAAATATGGGTCCATGGAGGAAAAATTAATGAAATGGTAGAGATGCCAGTTCTTCCTAAATATCCCCCTCTCCTCTTTCAGTGATGATAGAACACTGGGTTTTTTTTTTTACCTGGGCACATGACCACCCAGAGTAAAAACCACATTTTTCAGTTCCTCCAAAAGATAGATGCGTCCATGTGATTAAGTTCTGGCCAATGGAATATATAAAAAGGGAGTATAGGCAGCTTCTAGAGAGTGTCTTTGAAGACAGGAAGCCTGTCCTCTCTTTTTACTTTTTCTTGCTGAAATGTGGATGTATGAAGGAGCTCCAGCAGCTGTTTCAAGCCACAAAGGGACCTTGGAGATGGCAACCATAGAGCAGAGCAACAAGACGGAAAGACGCTAAGTCAGCCACGCCAGCCCTGCCATGCTTGCAGACTATCACGTGAGAGAGAAGCACACCGCTGTTGCCTTGGGTGTTCTCTTACTTGGTTCCAAATCTAATCCTAACCAACACACAGGGACTTCCAATTGGAAAAAGAGACCATGAGCAGAAACTCAGAGGTACAAATGGGTATAGAGCATTCACAGGACAGGAAAGAGGTTAGTCAGTCAATAATAAGATGAATAATACTTTATGTTCACGTCGGCTTTGCAGTTTGTAAAGCACTTTCAACTTCTTTGCCATTCCATCTTTCTAACTGTATAAGCTAAGGGACATTTATCATCTCCACTTTACAGTTGAGGGAACCGAGGCTCAGAGAGAGAAATGATTTTCCCAACTTCACAAAAACCAGAAAACAGCAGAATCAAAGCCGGAATCCATGACTTTTGAAGCCAGGGGCTGGGTTTCCCCGACTGCCTTTGACAACGCACTCAAATCAGTGTAGCTAACAATGCTCTCACCTAAAATGTGGGTCCAGCACGTTCACGGTGCTTCATACCTGGTTTCGACTGCTTCCAAGGCTCTTGCATTCTTTCATTTTCTTTACTAACATTAATTGACCACCTACAATGTAATAAACACCAGGCCTTATCACGCCAGGTGCTTTTACATGCACTGCTCTCTGTTCTCACTCAAATTAGCTCTTTATCCTACAGCTCCAGTTTCTGTTCTGTATCAGGCCTCTGCCTCCACAAAGCCTTCTCTGGGGGCCACAAGAATGAGCCATTCACTCTTCCATTGGCCTCTGTCGCCTCCCGAGGCAGCTCCCGAATGGACTCATGCAATGAACCTTTTAACCAGATCTGGGCCAACCCCAGAGAGGAGGATTCTGAGAGTGGGTTCTGGAGAAGTCTGCTGGTTTTAGGCCAGGAAAAAGAGATAGTCTGGGTTTGAACTGATATATAAGAAACTGTATTATTTTTCTAGGGCTACTATAACAAATGACTGTAAACTGGGTAGCTTACAGCAACAGAAATTTGTTTTCTGACAGTTCTGGAAGGTAGAAGTCCAAAATCAAAGTATTAGCAGCATTGGTTCCATTTGGGTGTTCTGAGTGAGAATCCGCTCCGTGTCTGCCGGCCCCCCCCCCAGTATTTGTAGCATTGTTCGGTTTGTAAAGGTACCATGGCAATCCCCGCCTCCACCTTCAAATGGCCTTCGCCCTGTCTCTGCCTCTGTCTCAAGTTTCTCAGAAGGACCCTAGCCATGGGGTTAGGGCAGCGGTTTTCAATAATTTTCATCTCCTGGCACATGTAAACTAGTTACTAAAATTCTGCAGCACACCAAAATATATTATGTGATATTTTTTGCCAATCTGACCAAAAAAAGAGGTATGATTTTGACTGATTTACCAAAAAAAGTAATTGCCTACCATTTTGCTCCAAAGTGACTTTTTTCAAAAATCAGGTGCCTACACTTGTATATAAGGATTTCTGGTACCAAGAATTAACCAATCAGATACAACCTTGTAATGCAACTTGACCCATAAGATGCAACTCTGTTCTATGACCTATGTATGTATGGTTCAGGACAGAGCATTTACTCTGGACAGCTATTGTTATGTTGGCTGTTGTCATTTTTTTATTCGACAATCTCAGGGAAAAGAAGCCAGTGACCCTGACTAAATAGTCTTGCACTACATGTTTTAAAACTTCTTATGGCCCTCCAGTGTGCAGGGACAGACCAGCACACTGGCTGAAAATTGCTGGATTAGGACTCACCTACACCAGTATGATCTCCTGTCAACCTTTTCTCATCAGCAAAGACCTTGTTTCCAAATAAGGTTACATTCACAGGCACCAAGCATTAACACTTCAGTATTTCTTTCTGAGAGACACAATCTGACCTACAACAAAACTCAAGCCGGGGCCCTGGAACCAGAGAGACTAGTTTCTAACCAGCTCAGCCTCACCACCCGTGAGACCTCGGACAACTGCGATAACTCTCTGAGCCTCGGATTCATTTGTGGAAAAGAACAGCACCAAGTAGGAGAGAGGTTAAGAGGCTTAAATGAGAAAATAAAAGCAAAAACAACATAAAACGCCCAGCTCATGGTTTTTCTCTCCCTTCTCGGGATGGATATATGAAAGAGTGAGGGAAGGGAAGAGAAGAGCTAAAGATACTTCGTGCCATTGGGAAGACACAAGATGGCAGTTGTCACCTTGCCCTGCAAATTAGCATGATGACCAAGAATCAGAACCAGCCCTGTGGAGTATCTTATTTTGCCATGTATGATGTGCACCCACATTTTTGGCCCAAACTTTCAGAGGAAAACAATCTTTTGTTTTAATTTTTTTTAATTCAATTACTTATTCACTTATATTTAGATACTTGTTTTTGTATTGTACAAGAATTTTAGCATTTATTTTTTAACATCTTACGGTACAAGAAATTTTATATAACAAATAATTAGAAAACATGAGAACAGATACGAGATATTTCAGGTAGTACCACATGTGTAAGGCACATTTTCTAATTTTTCCCTAAAAATTATGGGCAAAAAAGTGCACATTATACAGAGCAAAATATAGGTACATCAGAGGAATTATTTAGAAGAGGGCAGCTGCCTCTCTGGGTTCCAACCTAGTTCGTGGCAACATAACTAAAGGCGCCAAGGAGCTCACAATTATTGGTAACTACCAGACCCATTATGGAGCCTCCCTCAGGAAAATGGTGAAGAAAATTGAGATCAGCCCACACACCAAGTACACTTGCTCCTTCTGTGGCAAAAGCAAGATGAAGAGACGGGCTGTGCAGATCTGGCACTGTGGTTCCTGCAAGAAAACAGCCACTGGTGGTGCCTGGACCTCCAATGCCACTTCCACTGTCACGATCAAGTCTGCCATCAGAAGACAGAAGGATCTGAAAGACCAGTAGGAGCTCCACCATTTGAAACATTGCTAGCCTAGAATGAGTGTGTTAATGTGTGTTAAATAAATACATAGGGAAGCTGAGCTGCCTGAAGGACAGTGTACAGTCTGGAACTGACTGGTTTCCAGTAGCTAAAACTGGTTGGTGAATTTAAAGGAGGCACTATCAAAGCCTGTTGAGCCCACACCTTCTCCTGGGCCTGAAGCTCCTAAGGAAAGGAGGAGGGCAAGGTCAGGACAAGGGAAGAGACCTGGGATCCAAGAAGCACAGATCATGTCAGGGAAGATGAGGAAACTGGAGCTGATCAGCACCAGGTCACATCAAACGGGTCAGAGGAGCCTTGAGAACCAGCCCCAGGCAGATGGGGGCACTCTGGATGGGCCCTCCTTACACACTGGGGAGGGGGCAATGTCTCAGAGGGGAAAGGAGAGAGGACCACTGCCATGTCAGGCCGAAGGGCTGGGTAGACATGCTGCATATGGTGGCATTCTGGATGCCTCCCGTGGAGCCCAGGAGTAAACAACCAGAGAAGGCAGCGGAGGAGCTGGGTTTCTGTGAAGGAAGGGCAGGGAAGAACAGAGAATGGGTTGGATGTCAGGCTGCATGCCCACCTGGCCAGTCTGCGCCAGGGTCGGTGAGAAAGGACAAGCATTCCAGGGCTTCGACAGTGCTTTGTATCACCACCTAGTTCTATCAAAAGTTCTCCAAAGTCAGTCTGGGCAGACATTGACCCATGACCCCCCCCCCAATCATCCCTTGTCCCTCATACTCCCTACCTCTGCTCACGGCACCCATGCCACCCAAGCACGAAGCTGCAGTGCTTGACCATCCTTGACCTCCCCTCTCCTGTGGCTCTGCGGTGTCATCCATGAGGATAAGGACTGGGTCTCACTCACCTTTCAACCCCCAAACAGTGCCTAGCCCCAAGGCTCTCTCATTCAAACTGTTCAATACCTGCACACATTACCCCACTCCTCACCAGAAAGGAAAGCAATGCTGTATAAGGGGCAGAATAAGAGGAGCATTTGCCCCGCAGGTTTAACTCAAGGGGAGTGAGGGGTAAAAAAGTACAGAGCAGGAGAGGGCATGAAGAAGGAGGGACTCAGCCTGAGGAGCTGGCCAATGTGCCGGGTTTGAGCAGGTGTCTGTTTTCACATCAAATCCTTCCACACCAGAGAGCATTCAATGACCACTTTTAAAACACAGGGTAAAGGGCAGTTTACTAAGTATAAGAGCCACAGAGCTCTCTCCTGACTCTTATAAGGGCACTAATCCCATTCATGAGGTCCCCACCCTCATGCCCTCAGCTAATAAAAATCATCTAACAGAGGCCCCACCTCCTAATACCACCACATTGCGGGGTAAGTTTTCAACATATGTACTGGGGAGACCCAAACATTCGGTCCAGATTAGGGATAAAAGAACAGCTCCCCGGATTTCATTCCCAGGTTGGCACTTCTCCTAGACCTCACGGTCTAGGAGATTGAAAGTCCTCAGAGGTCACCCCAATGTGAAATCCCCTCCCCAGCTCTTCCTTGCTCACATCCAGGGATGCAGGCTTCCTCCCTGCCCAGCGGCAGTTAGGAAGTCGCTCTTCCTCCCAGCCAGCCACAGTCAGCCTCCCTGTCCCCAACCTGGGGACACACCAAGCACAGCTGACCCTTCTTCCACATAGCAGACTTCCAACATCTCTCCATAGAATGTGGCTTTAGACAATTTTGACCTGATTCTTCTGTGTGAGGGCTGTCCAGGCACCAGAGTAAACTCAGAGCTCTAATGGCTTCAAGACAGAAAGTTGGGGAAGGCACTTCATTTCCGTGCCTCAGTTTCCACCTATATAGAATAGGATTATGTGAAATGAGCTAGCACCCAGCTCCCAGGATTGGCAGGAAGACTGCCTGAGATGACCTAGTGCAATGCAGGGCACACCACAGGGCCCAACACACGTCAGCCACTGATTTCCTATCTGTATGTTTTAACATTTTTAGTGGAATTATATTGTATGTAATCTTTTGTGACTTGATTTTCTTCACTCATTTGGTATGAATACTTCCCTCCATCATTAAATATTCTTCAAAGCATTTTTAATGGCTGTCATATTTTATCCCAGGAGTTATGGTCATTTCTTTAATTACTCTCAGAGAGAGTTCTTCTGTAACTACTTTTTTAACCCAGGCTCACAGGTCTGAGCCACCAAAGCAGAGGCATGGGGGCTCCTTCAGTGCTACTGAGCCTCCAGCCCCCACCCTCCGGCATCCATCACCCTCAGCCTGCGCCTGCCCCCTTCTTCCTCTCCTCAGCTGGAATCAATTGCCCTCCCTTCCTGCCTGTGCCTCCTGCCTCATAGCATCAATCAACCAACAAGCCACCACAGTGTGCCCAGCCCAGTGCCAGCAACGCCAGGGCGCCGCGGGGACGGAAGGCGAGCCTGCCTTCCAGGACCCTGTTCTCTGTCTGGGGAAGTAAACTGTGTACAGAAGAACCGGGGAGGTGGAGCACTGAGGGGGGGGGGTCCTCAGAGAAGCAGAGAGGAGGGGTGTGCGAACTGGCGTTCCCTGGGAGCCCTGGGCTCAAGAACCAGAGGGCACTTGAGAAGGTGCGCCAGCAGGAGCAAGGTGCACGTTGACTGGCTGGGTACGTGGAGTCCGGGAGGGGTTGGGGAGCGGGCTGTGTGGAGGGGACAGCTTGGCAGGAGCACAGCTGCAAGTCCTCATGGGGTCCCAGTGCTGCCGGGCTGATGGAACGGTCCTCCGCTTCACAGCCTGCCTCGAGCTGGATCGGGGGCCCCAGCTCGGAACTAATGCCCCCGGGGGCCGGGGGCAATCATTTCGAAATGAAGGTAATGATCCAATTAGTGGTTATCCATCAAGTTCAGTTATCTTTCCTTGGGCTGGGGAGCAGAGAAGCTGAGTAAACACGTGCCTTGGACTGTGACATAAAACCAGACCCCCTCATGCTGGAAAATGAGTTCAAGATGCTGGCTGAGCCTCCTCTCAGGCCCACAGGTTAGCGTGTCGGCGGCCCAAAGAGGCAGAGAGCCACCAAGCTCAAAAGGAGCAGGGTCTCTGAGGCCACAGCAGCTCCCGACCTAGGACCCGCAGTGCCACTGTGAGAATGGGGAGACACCTGAGTACCTGTGGATCTGGCATCATCACCACAGCCAGAGTCTGACCTGTGTCCCATTCAGAGAATTTGGTTCCACTCAGCCTTGTCCCCGAGGCCCCAGCTCTGAGCTTCCCCAAGCACTGGCCAGCTGCCCCAGCTTCCCCTCTCCTCTCCACATTTGCTGTCCGAGCAATACATTTCCACACTGCTATGCTCTGTCCGAGCCCCCTTACTTCCATTCCCAATTCCTGAAGACAAGGGCTATCTGTGTCTTCTCATGAAGAACGGGATTTATAGTTGGGAGGCATATTGGGCAGTCACCTAACCCAAGAGTCTTGTTTCAAAATGAGGAAGCTCCAGCTAGGGTGGCTCAGTGGATTGAGCGCCGGCCTGTGAACAAAAGGGTCACCCGCTCTATTCCCAGTCAGGGCACATGCCTGGGTTGCAGGCCAGGTACCCAGTAGAGGGCATGTGAGAAGCAACCACACACTGATGTTTCTCTCCCTCTCTTTCTCCCTCTCTTTCCCTCTGTCTAAAAATAAATAATAAAATAAAATCTTTTAAAAAATGAGGAAGCTGAGGCCCAGGAGTTGGAGTGATGGAGAGGACACCCTGACTGTGGAGCCCTCATTCACTGGAGGTCCTCTCTGTTGTGTCTCACTGGGTAGTAAACTGCCCCAGAAGAGGACACCAGCCATCGCCTCGGCAACCATTCTGAAACTGGCTAGCTGTGCGGGAGCCTTTCCCTCACTCTGCCTCCTCAGCCAGGACGCCCAGAAATTCTGTTAAGGTCAGGTTTGGAACTGGCCTCCAAGTTCTTTATTCCCTCCTCATGGCACCATCCCCCCACCTGCTCAGGTTATTGGAAGGGAATCTTAAGGGTTGCCCTGTCCTGTCATTTCACACTCAGAATTCCACACACAGAATTTCAGTGTCATTTCACACTGCCATTTGTCCCCACTTCCTCCCATCGTTCATAGGCACCTCAAGAAATTATTTTGCAGAATACCAACATTATTTGCCAGGTTCCCACCCTGGAACCTGCCCATCCAGTCACTGTCCATCCTCGAAGCTCTCCCGAGGAGAGAGCACACAAGCCCAGCATTGAGGCCTGACCCATTCTGTACTAAGATTGCAGGAATAAGGCACGGGGCTCCCCAGTCTGCCAGAATTTCCTAGCAGATTCATTGTTTCTTCCTCTTGGCCCAGGTAAGCACTCCATGACCATAGGCAGCTTATCTGCTCTGGGATGAACCCACCTGCCTTCCAATGGCCTGGCTTTCCTTGTGTGTTCATCTTATATTGATCTGATTATCCACGGGCCGTATGCATATTACTTGCAATGTGTTTTAAAGAGTCACCCAATTTCCTTGTCCCAGGGCCTCTTCCATGTCCTCCCCTCTAGTTCTTCCTATGAGGGCTGTGTGGTCTGTGTCTAGGTTTACTTTTTTGGGGTATGGATATCCAGTTGTTCCAGCACCATTTGTCAAAAAGACTACCTTTGCTCCTTTGCTGAAGACCAGTTGATTACAATTATGTGGGTTTGTTACCGGGGTCTTCTGTTCTGTGCTACTGATTCTACTTGTCTGTTCTTTTGCCAGTACTTCATTGTCTTGATTACTGTGGCTTCATTGTAGGTCTCGGCATTTGGTAGCTTTGGTCCTCTGACTTCGTTATTCTCTCTCAGTATTGTTTTGGCTATTCTGGGTCTTCTGCCTCCCCATACAAACTTTAGAATCTGTCGATACCCATAAATGACTTTCCGTGAGTCTGATTGGGGTTGTTTCAGATCTTTTTTTTTTAAGATTTTATTTATTTATCTTTAGAGGGAAGGGAAGGAGAAAGGGAGAGAAATATCAATGTGTGGTTGCTTTCTGTGCATCCCCTGCTGGGAACTGGCC